TGTATTTGATGAAATCTTGTAGACTCTCACTAGATTGAAGGCTGATAATCAGTTTATCATAATACTATGTGCTGCTATCGAAAGGCTGTGTAATTTCTCTTGTTAGCACTTTATATATGTGTTTTAGCCATTTTTGGGTTGGGTTTTCATCAATTTGCATTGTATTGCTGATCAGATTTTGTCTAGTCATTTGACTGTATATAAGTGTGTTAGGGTTATCTTGGTATGCAGAAATGGTTGAGGCTGTGTTAGTTTCCATTTTGGTGTTGGTTTGTGTACTTTCTAGTTTGATAATAGGGATGGTCATTTCAGTATCTACTGGGTTTTTTTGTTAAGTGGTGTCTGAGTCAGGCTGGATATGGTTAGCTGCAGGTCCTGTGTCATGAGTCTTTGTTGTTGTGTTGTTGTTGTTGTTTGGAGGTTTGGATGTGTTGTCATTTCTAGAATGAGGTGTGTTATCTAATATGGTAATGTTGGGGTTGTTGTTGTGGGAAATTATCATTGTGTTGTTGTTTTTTCTCAAGGACTCTGTTTGGATGTTGTTAAAACCTGTTTATACAAGTTGGTTGTTATTGTTGTGATGTGATAATATCATGTTGTTTTTTGGAGGGAGTAAGCTGGATGACCCACTTTTGGTGTTTGTAAATGATCTTGGAAGGAGAGTACATCGTCTCTTTGCACTCGTATCAGTATAGGTGGAGTCTAGTTTGGATGTAGCTATTTTTTGCTTTTGTTTGATTTGGCGTTTGCTGTCGTGGTTTGATGTTTGTTGGTGGCGGTGGGAGTGTTGGAGTGTGAGACGGTATTCGCGCGGGTTGAGTGTGTGGTGGTAGTTTTTTGCTTTTGTTAAATTCGGCTGTTACTGTTGTGTTCGCTCATTTGGAGTTGAGGTTGAATAATAAGAGTAAATAGTACTATGCGGCCTGTAAGCCTTATGTTTTCTTTATTGTTGGTTGTGTAGTTCTTGCTACTCTGTTTTCTCTTGATTTTGATTACTTAGAAATATAAACTGGTGGTGTGTGGGTGTTGTCTTGTCTTCAAAACTGTTTTTTA